ATCAATATCCCTATAGTCGTTACACAACAACAGGATTCTGTGCAAAGCTACCCGCCAATTGAAGCTGAGAAAATCGTTCAAAAGACCATGTACACCATGAAGAACCACTGCAATACCTACACTATTTTGATCATCACCTAATATATCAAGACAGACATCAGGTTGATCCCGTAAAACAATTCCATCTTGTCGGCTCAACCACTCCCGTTCAGCATTACTTATACAAGGCTCCTGAAAAGCTTATTAAGAACTAACGTGATGAAGCCTCAGAAAGAAACAGATTCAGAACGATTCTACCTGGAAAATCATCTGTGCATCAAACGCACGGCATATTCTTCGTGTAAGAGCAAGTTGATGAGTCCCAGCTTCCCATGGGGCATCAAAATGGCCATTTCCAATTAAGTACACACACGAAATGCGTCGGTCACCAAGGAACCGGCGGATCTTGTTAATGATCCAAGAGCTGCAATAAGACAGCATAAGGTTTACATTGTTCCGATACCGCAGATTCTCCACAAGAATGCTGAGTTATGGGCGAAACTTAAGCTGGGGATCGAGCCCGTACCTCTAGCTTTCCGGGCTGTCGTGGTAACACCATCGATGTAATCTGTAGCTGAACAGCCCGTAAAGCCAGAAGAGCGGATCCTGGGGCAAAAGTTTCGCCCATATTTCAAATAATGGAAATAAAGGTGTTGTTGTCATCCACAACATTCTACCTAATCTCGGACATTACAATACCTAATCAAAGTGAAACTGAAATGTTACACCCATTCTCCTGGAAAGCAAAAACGCATTGTACAATTTACATAAAGAAAAAATACAGCAAAAGATGGCAAACCTGAGACCACTATCTTCAACTTGTGAATTGGTTTTCTCCATTGCCGCCTGAATGTCGTCTACGGTGCCTTCTATCCTGCTAACTGATGCAAGAGCAGTTTTCTTCAATCGCGCATGCCGCCTTTTGCATCTAACTAATTCAAACCCGTCATCTTCCATCTAAAAAACCTTCAAAAGAAGGGAATTATGACAAAAGAAAAACAATTTGCTAAACACTGCGTAAAATGACCGTGGATTGACCAAAAATAATCATGAACACGGAATATAAGTAAAACTCTTCAACAAAATACGGAACATGAAAGAATGACAATTTAAATTAGCGGATAATGTTGTTACCTTAATCCAGATGAGAAACTCTTCTGCACACGACTAATCGCAATTTCACCGGTGAGAAAATGTTTTAATTTCATACTCCTAGTTTTTTCTATGGCAGCTATGGGCATCCAGCAGAACATCATCGATTATCAATCAGCACATGAGTAGTTTTAGGTCTCCTTTTTGTTTCTACATAAAGAAATCGCCACTGCCATTCACCATCGCGTTGTTCCATCTCCGCTTGAGCAATACCCTCATCGCGTTCGCCCTACACAACGGCTAATAAGCTATGAATACAAACGAAATAGATAGTTCTAACACAATGACGTACCTTCACATGAAAAGTACGCGGATTAGCGTTTGATTTCCGTATTTTTCGTATTTGTGATGGAGCGGGATGGTGCGGCATATGCCCCGCAACCCGAGTGCCCGCAATGTCCCGGCGGGGCGTGTCAGAAGGATCTGCCTGTGCACGCCGATAGCCGTTGTGAGTGCACCTCCGCCTGACGGACCAGCGGCGGTACTTGGCCCGGAACGGCCACGAATAACCTGATCCGGCTCCATGTGGTGGGTGAGAATATGCATGCATGCCGTAGTGGTGCTGACATGACGTCGACGACCGCGTGAAGTCTCTTCTCCAAAACCAGCTATGGTAGGTCCGAAAAGGTCGTGGCACCGGCCATCTTCTCTCACCAAGGAGAGTGCACTGAAGAAATACGGCAAATATTCGCTATACTGCGAACACTTAGATGGCACGTTCAGCTTACCTGCTGTATATCTTTTGAGGACTATCTTCTGCGAAAAATTCACCAGCCAAGAGGTAGACAAACACGCCTAACATGCCAATCGCGGCCGCAACTGCAGTATATAAAAAGGTATTGGACGCCTTCTCTGCAACCTGCAAATTAGGGCTAGCTAATAAGAGGAACATGATAGCGCAAACTATTATTTGACCAAATCAAAGAAGGCATTTGGATAATTTTTTGGAGAATCCGGTCTGCTTCGGGCAAAAAGACTGTGTTATACGGCTTGCATTTACGATAATTCCCAGGAAAAACACTGGCTGAGACGCGCTAGTCTTCAATGCGGTAATAAAGCTGCTCTCACAGAAAAAAGGAGAGTTTGATAGAGAAAACAATAGCATAACCAACCTAGCCATTCCCAGCTCCAACCACGTAACTGGGAATCCTATTCAAATTACAGAAAGGGTGGAAGTTGAAAAGGCCAAAAGCAAAGAACACTATGAAAGGTGGACTTATGTGTAGTACCAAGCAGCAACGCATACGTATGGTACAGGGATCAAACCGTGGATCGATTCCGCTGGTGGTTACCCCCCCCCCTCCCCTTAAGTAAGTTTATTAACTCCAAATTCGATTTGGAAGATAAATACTCCGACTTTTCGTCTGGCCCCTCATGAGGTACTCTCGCGAAATAATCTAATATAACAGAAGGGTACTAATTTGATTCTTAAAAAAAATTCGGATGTAGAAAGAGACTCGCGCTGAGAGTTTCATCACTTGTCTTCTAAACACAACCACTTATAAACATCACTTAATCGTGGAATACCTTTTAAAACATGCCTTTCCAGTGAATGTTGTAGGTTTTTGTTTCTCCTTTATTAGCACTTCTTCAAGAACTGATCGTTGTAGACCCGTCTGTTCTTTATTTTGTGGAGTGATACTGCCCCGTTTCTCCGCAAAATTTCTGGTACCACATAACCACCTGTAAACATAACCTTAGTTCCAGACTTCTGTAAAAGGAATAAGAAAAAAAGCTACGAAATTCTTCAAAAACTCGAAAAAGTGAACGGTGCGAGTTACCTGTGATCAAGGGGCTGTCTAAGCAGAACCCTTGGAGAGTAAGCGACCCATGGAACTTTAAGTCGGCGAGTCACCGTGGTGTTGCCCAAGCGTAGAAATAAAGCTGAACTCATATTTGGAGCATCTGACACGAGCCAGCAGCTGTAATATATAGCTGTAAAGAAATAACTGATTTGAAA